CGGTGTTGCACCCGCGCCTCACTCAGCCAGTGAGCGGGAGCCGGTCTGTATGTGGGATCCGAACCCTCGGACGGGAGCGCCGCCGCGCTTCCCAAGCGGCGCACTATCCAGTGCGCCACTGGGCCGGCCCCTAGCAGAAGCCTTTTTAATAGGCATTGCTAAACAAATAACCCCTTACTGTTATTCATCTATCACTTTTTAAAAAGTGATGTATATTGTCCTTAAATAGTCACATGATGGAGGAAAATTAGATATTCCTCCATTATGCATTTCAAGAAACAGGCTTATAAAAGTTATAACACGCCCAAAGTATTTAGTAATGCCATTTGTCCACTTGACTTGGATCAGTGCTTTTTTTTTTTTTTTAATCTTCGTGGGTGCCTAGAACATAGGCTCAGTCTACTATGCAGGAACTGATTAATTTCACATTTGATCTTTAATTACAACATTCTAGTGATAGGACATGTGAATGAGTGTTTTTTTTTTTGCTTTTTTTAAGGTCAGATACGCATAACACAAAACTTACCTTTTTAACCTTTTTTTCCCTCTTTTTTTTCCTTTCTAACCATTTTTAAGTATAGAGTTTAGTGGCATATGATATTTCTGTGTTTAACTTTCTGAGGAACTGCCCAACTTTCACAGAGGTTGCATGCACCATTTTACTTTCCCACAATTGATGCACAAGTGTTCTAATTTCTGTACATTCTCTTCAACACTTGTTATTTTTTGTTAGTGTTTTTTAATCCTAATGGGTATGAAGTGCTATCTCATTGTGGTTTGATTTTCATTTTCCTTATGACTGCTGATGTTGGGCATCTTTTCATGTGCTTATTTATTGGCCAATTTATATACCTTCTTTAAAGAAATATCTGTCTAAGTCCTTTGTTCATGTTTGTTTCTTTGTTTCGTATTTGGCAGCTGGATGGTACAGGGATCTGAACACTTGACCTTGGTGTTACCTTGTTCATTTTTTAATTGGATTGATTACTTTGTTGTTGGGTTGTAGGAATTCTTTATATATTCTGGGTATTAAATCCTTATCAGATACATATGACTTACCAATGTTTTCTCCCATTCTGTGGGTTGTCTTTTCACTCTCTTGATAGTGTCCTTTGATCCACAGAAGTTTCTAATCTTATGAAGTCTAGTTTATCTATTATTTCTTTTGTTTCTTGTGCTTTTGGTGTAATATCTGAGAAATCATTGCCAAATCCAACATCATGATGCTTTTTCTCTATGCTTTTTTTTTTTTTTCCTTTTTGTCTTTTTTACTGACCGGCAACGGGATCGCAACCCTCGGTGTTGCGCCCGCACCGCGCTCAGCCAGTGAGCGGGAACTGGTCTCCACATGGGATCCGAACCCTCGGTGGGAGCACCGCTGCACTCCCAAGCGGCGCACTCTCCAGTGCGCCACCGGGCCGGCCCTATGCTTTTTAAAAGAGTTTTATAGTTTTAGTTCTTACATTTAGATATTTGGTCCATTTTTAGTTAATTTTTGTATATAGTGTAAGACAAGATTCCACCTTTATTCTTTTGAATTGGATATCCAGTTTTCCTAACACTGTTTGTTGAAAAGACTGTCTTTTCTCCATTTAATGGTATTGGCACTCTTATCAAAAATCAGTTCACCATATACTTATATGTGAAAGTTTATTTCTGGGATTTCTATTTTATTCCATTGGTCTATGTATTAGTTCCTTTCTGTTGCTTATCACAAAATACCTGAAAGTGGGTACCTTTTAAGAAAACAAAATTTGTTGCTTACAGTTTCAGAAGCTGGGAAGTCCAAAGTCCAGGGAACACATCTGGTAAAGGTCTTGTTTGGGGGTGGCTTCACAGCAATGCAGGGGTTCACATGAAAGAAAATGGTGGATCAGAGAGAGAGAGAGAGAGAGAGAGTGTAAAGTTGTGTTGTTGATTTACAAACTCTTTTATTCATGTAAGTGTTTACAGCTATAAATTTTCCTTTTAGCAGTGCTTTTGTTGAATCCCATAAATTTTATTTTGTGTTTTTGCTTCATTTGTCTCAGCATATTTTTCTGATTTCCCTTGTGATTTCTTCTTTGACCCTTTGGAGTTTAGGAGTATATTGTTTGATTTTTACATGTTTGTGAATCTTCTAGTTTTCCTTCTGTTATTTGCAGTTTTATTCCATGTGGTCAGAAAAGATACTTTATATGATTTTAGCCTTTAAGTTTATTAAGACTTGTATTATGGCCTAGCATATGGTCTATCCTAGTAAATGTTACATGTATGCCTGAGGAAAAAGTGTATTCCCCTATTGTTGGGTAGAGTGTTCCATATATGTTAGGTTCAATTGGTCTATAGCATTGTTCAAGTAATCTGTTTCTTTGTTGATTCTGGGTGTTCTATCCGTTATTGAAAGTCTCCAGCTATTATTACAGACCTGTTTCTCCCTTTAATTCTGCCAATGTTTGTTTCATATATGAGGGGACTTCAAAAAGTTCGTGGAAAGATTTGCATTAGCTTTTAATTCTTTTTCCACAAACTTTTTGAAGTACCTTCATATTTGTGGCTCTGATGTTTGGTGCATATGTTTATAATTGTTATATTAAAGCCTGTTTTGTTTGATGTTAGTATAGCCACCAGCTTTTGTTTATTACTTGCATGGAATATATTTTTCCATCCTTTTACTTTCAAGCTAAGTATGTCTTTAGATCTAAAGTGAGTTTCTGATGACAGCGTTTAGTAGGGTCATGATTTTTATCCATTCTTCAAATCTATGGCTTTTGTTTGGGGAGTTTAATTCATTTATATGTAAAGTAATTACTGATAAGGAAGGACTTTCCTTTTGCCATTTTATTTATTTCATGTGTGTATTATAGCTTTTTTTTTTTTTTGCCCATTTTCTCCATTACTTCCTTTCTTTGTATGTACTTGATATTTTTGTCTTCAAGTTCACTGATTCTTTCTTCTGCCTGTTTAAGTCTGCAGTTGAACCCCTCTAGTGGATTTTAAAATTTTTAGTTTCTGTGCTTTTCAGTACAAGCTATAGAATCCCTGTTTGGTTCCTTTTTATAATTTCTCTTTCATTTTGTCTCTGTATCATTCTCCTGATTTCCTCTAGTTCTTCATGTTTTCCTTTAACTTTTTGAGCACATTTAAGATCAGTCTACTAAGTCTGATGCCTGTGCTTCTTCAAGAACAGTTTCTATCGACCTGTTTTCTTCCTTTGAATAGGCCATGTTTTCCTGCTGCTTTGTATGCCTCACAGTGTTTTTGCTGAATATTGGGCATTTGAAAAAATAGTCATCTGTCCCAGTCTTTTCAAACTGGCTCTTGCTGGAGCAGTCCTTCACTGAGTAGCTGGGTGTGCTCTGAGCCTTGAGATCAGCCTGGGGTGAAGGTTTAAGGTCTTTTCAGGTGTTTCTGAGCATGTATCACCTGGGCCTGAGTGTCTTTTTTAATCCCCCTGTATACACAGCCAATTTTGTGTGTCTTAATTTCCCAAAGAGTTTCAGTCCAGTTTCTCCTCTGGGCTTCACATGGTCTATTGTATGTTTCTTGCCTGGTGTCTGTAGCTTTTAGACTCCTTGCAGCTTTCCTGAGCAGTGTCCACTGCTTCTCCCCTGCCTGAGATTCAAGTTGGGCAAAACAGAGACCAGTCCTTCAGGCAGTGCCCCGACAGGTTGGGCCATTGTAAATAAAGTCTGCGGTGTTCCCTCCTTCCCAGTTTGAGGGAAGGAATGGGAACTGTACTGCTGCTTCCAGATAGACCATGCCTCACTGAGGAGGAGATTGGTCGAGTAAAAATGACATGAGATTTTCTACTGTCTTGAATGTGGCTTTTTCTTGACTAGGTGTTCACTCGGTTGCTGTAGACCATTGACTATTTTCCAGAGTTCCTATAGATTATTTTAGCCGTTTTTGGGATTGGTTTTGACATCTCCATGAGGGAATTGTTTTATGTCACGTTTATCAGCTAATAAAATTGCCTTTTCACTCACTGGCTGAGCGTGGTGCAGACCACACTGTGCCGAGGATTGCAATCCCCTTACCAGTCAAAAACAAAAAAGTTACCTTTTCAGATACTATCCAGTTACTATATGCCTCATTTAACCATTTTATGTTAAATTCATCAACTAGTGAAATTGGCCTTTCAAAAACTGTTACTATAAATTCACTTTTATATAAATGTTTATGAATTACTGCAAAATAACTTGATGTTCTTAAATTAAGGAAAAAGAACCTATGTGAAGAACTTGTAAGAGATACAGATCAGTATATATCAAATTTAGTAATGGCAAAAAGCTACATTGAAGAGAAAAAAAATGAGTTGGATGCAGCTATGAAGATAGCAAGAGAGTTAAAATCAGCACCTTCTCTGAGGACATATTGTGACCTGAATCAGGTAATTTTAATAGTTCACAATGTGAATTATTTCTGTGGCAGCTTATTTTATATGATATTTAAGATGCAATAAGAATATGTTTTCAGGCTATTCTAACCTCCAACCTATGTTGTCATCAATTAAGAATTCTTACGTGTTTGTACTCCAAGACAACTTTATTATATTTGTTTGGCCTTTCGTTTTTTTTTATCATTTAGGGAAATAATGCAAGAAGGTCTTTATAACACATGATCTGAGAGGAGGATAACACTGAGGCAAGTAGGATAACACTGAGCTGAAAGTTGAGGTTTCTAGGACATCTGAATGAAAAATGAGGACAAAAAAGAATAGCAAACTAGATGAGACCGTATTTTCTTTTCATGAACAATTTAGGTATGCTGTTAACTCTCAGCTTAAAAATTTAATTCACTGTCCCATTTCAGGTTTTTCGTTACCCCCTCCCCAAAATGTGCAAGTCAGGATACAAGTTGTTTCAGCAATCTCCTATCATTATGTGCCTAGGGGGCAGAATTGGGCAAAAAAAGAAACATGTTTTTTATCAGATAGTTTGGCAGGACAAGGTTGACCATAGATCCTCTTTGCTAATTTCTGCCTCACTCTCTAAGTGTCTAGATTCTCTCTCTTCAGGGTCTCATTTCCCATAGTTAATTAAATATTTGGACTGAACTGAGGTATAGAATAGACACCATTGGTTTGCCTTTTTCCGAAATCTCTAACTTTACTGACGGGAGAGTTTGCAACCACCTGACTTGGCCAGACCTCCCTCCAACTGTAGTTCTAAAAACAATAATAGTCATTTCCTATGTACAGGTATTACATGTGAAGCACTAGGAAGTGAAAAAAGTGATAAAATTGGGTCTTCACCCTAGTTATTCTTGTTAGGAAAATAGGGCAAAAAGAGAGAAAGAACATTTGAAGAGAGCAGCATAGGTGCAGAATGAATCAGATCAGACTTTCCTCTGCTCACGTAGCTACATCTTATTTATTAGCTAGTGTCTGTTGTTGTTGTTATCTGTTACTACATATCTCCAAAAGATTTTAAACCCTTTTAGGGGAAAATAGTCATAAACACTTATTCGCATCCCTTCCTTTGAGTATCCAAAATTGAGCCTTCAATGCATTAATTAATGGAATGCTCAAGGATATAGTTGTCCTTCTAAAATCTTACTATTTCAGTAATATTTGTGAAAAAAATTCACATATGAATGACACTTCTCTTTTGATTCTAGATTGTCCGGACTTTGAAGATAACATGTGAGAGTGAATTGTCACAAGTTAGTTCTCTAACACGAAGGAACCCTCCCAGGTGAGTAAGTCATAATTCAGGAGATGACAACAAGTATAAAAATGTATTAGAGGTATTTATGTATTATAAATGTGTTAAATTTATTAAAATAGCAAGCAATTATGAATTGAAAATTTGGGTCACAAATGTTTCCCAAGTTAACAACCAAATTAAAGTAAGTGAAATTAATGATAAATTAAAAAGTTATTTAAATGTTTTCTTTTAAATTAGTTATTTTAATGTCAGCAACTGATTTTTATTTGGAGAAAATAATCTTGTATTGAAACATTTACTTATATGCTAATGTTTTGTTTTAGGTTGAATATGAATTGCAGTGAGATCATCTGTATGTTCAACAATATGGGAAAGATTGAATTTGAGGACTCCACAGAGTAAGTATAAGAATGGCAACATGCCGTCAGTGTCTGACAGTACCTCTGTTATCTAAGAGAGAGAAAAAATGATGTTTTGTGGTATGATTCAGAAGCTGAAAAATAATTTACAGGACAAAATAGTTTCTATAGTTAAATTCTATGTATAATATTTTTTAAAAGACCTAGAATGGAATTAGTATTTAATGATATGTGTCATAGTTACCCTTGATATTCATTTCATCAGCAAGCTTTGAGCACTAACACTCTGGATATTTAGATACATGTCAGGGAAATTACACTAAGTAGAGGAAGACAGACATGTAAACAATAAAATGCATAATTCAGAATTTAGTGGAGAGGCAAAGGAAAGGAATGATTAGTTCTTCCTGGAGTAACAGGGGACTTGGAAAGAGATTTTATTTTCCCTTATCCATGAAAAATGACTAGCAGGTGGAAAGGAGGACAAAAGGGAAGGTAGGCATCTTAGAAATATGTGGGCATGAAATAGCATGCTAGGTTCAGGGAACTGCATGTTAAATTCCATCCTTTGTATCTCCAAAGATACAGAGAGGCTAACTCCTAAAGACTTTGTATGCTGTGTGGTGGTGTTTGAACTTTGTTTTCTAGAGCTGTGCTGTCCAGTATGGTAGCCACTAACCACATGAGGATATTTTAATTCAAGCATGAATTAAAACTAACTACAATTAAAAATATGGTTTTGTTTTGCCACCCACCTACCCCAAACTAAATATACTTAAAAACTTAGTTCCTCAGTTGGACTAGCCACAATTCAAGTGCTTAGTAGCCACATATGTCCAGTGGCTACCTGTCTTAATCTATTTATATTTCTGTAACGAAATACCTGAGACTGGGCAATTTATAAAGATCAGAAATTTATTTCCTCACAGTTCTGGGGGCTGAGAAGTTCAGGATCAAAGTGCTGACAGGTTCAGTGTCTAGTGAGGGCCCCAATCTCTGCTTCTAAGATGGTGCCTTGTAAGCTGCCATGTACATGGTAGTAGAGCAGAAGAGCAAAAAAGGGAAGGGGTATACTAAGCAAGCTCCCATGAGTCCTTTCATTCATAAAGGCAGAGCCCTCTTGACTTAATTATTTCCCACAAGACCCCACCTCTTAACACCATTACGATGAGGAGTATACTAAGCAAGCTCCCATGAGTCCTTTCATTCATAAAGGCTGAGCCCTCTTGACTTAATTATTTCCCACAAGACCCCACCTCTTAACACCATTACGATGAGGATTAAGTTTCAACATGAATTTTGGAGTGAACATTTAGACTAAAGCACTACTTTATTAGACAAAGCAGCACATTTCCATTATTACCAAAAGTTCTATTAGACAGTACAGCTCTAGACAATAGAAAACTACTAAAAGGTTTTAAGCATGAAAGTAAAAATAATTACATTAAGCTTTAAAAAGTTTAATTAAAAAGTAATAATCACATTAAACTTTAAAAATTCGGGGATTATTTGGGAGAGAATGATGGTGGAGGCTGAAGGATGGGTTAGACTGTTGTCATTTCCAGAGTCTATTGATATGAGAACCCAAGCATAGGTAGTAGCACTGGATTGGAACTGAGAATAGATGTGACAAATGCTAAATGGGGAACATTAATAAAATGTAGTAATGCTTGAATATGAGGAATGAGGTAAAGTGGAACATTCTTGGTGGTTTACAGGTTTGGCTTTGGTGACTAAATTGATGGATTGGCATTATTTACAAAAATTGGGAATATAGGAAGAAAAGTAAGTTGAGAGAAGGAAGAGAGTGGATATGTTGAGTTCCTATTGTTTACCAGTTATCTGGGGAGAAATGTCTAGAGAGTAGTTAGGTATACATTCTGAAATTTAAGAGATGTGGGACTTGATTCTGGATTTAGGAGTAGTCAGAATATAGATATTGTAGAAACCCCCAAAAAGAAAATAAATTTATTCATGTGTAGTTGGTTTGTCTCCAGGGGAAATGTTCCCCCAAGAAGCATCATGTTTGTTACCATAGGGAACAATCAGTCTGGCCCACAGTCTTAGAAGCTCAGAAACACACATGAGCGTATCTGCTCTAAGCCAGGCAAACTAATACAAGACAAGTTCACAAAACTGATGTATAGTCAGAATGCCAGGTTGTTACTTTAATGAGCAAATATAATTGCCAGCAGGGAATACAGTATTGATGTTGGCATTCTTTTCCAATACTCAGACAGAGTGAGAAGCCAAATTATCAGAAGTTGCTTTGTTCACAATCGTGTTTGGAATAGAGTAAGATTAATCAAATAGCTTAACAGCATTAGGTCAAGATAGCCTACTACATTCCTCTCCATCAGAGGGAAGACCTTGCCAGAGGAATTGGAATACCCGTCCTTCGGCTCAAGTCATTCTCACCCAGACAGTGCTTGGGTGAGCCCTACCCCATATTTGCCTCTGTGACTTGCCTTTTTGTGGTTCCATGAGTGCTCCACAGTCTTTATGGCCAATATATTCTTTTAGATATTTTTATAACTTTAACAGGCAAAGGTTAAAGGATATCAGAAGAGCCTCGCTCAGCCAGTGAGCGGGAACCGGTCTGTATGTGGGATCCGAACCCTCGGGCGGGAGCGCCGCCGCGCTTCCCAAGCGGCGCACTATCCAGTGCGCCACCGGGCCGGCCCTCTTCTTGACCTTTTAAAGAGCCTCGCTCAGCCAGTGAGCGGGAACCGGTCTGTATGTGGGATCCGAACCCTCGGGCGGGAGCGCCGCCGCGCTTCCCAAGCGGCGCACTATCCAGTGCGCCACCGGGCCGGCCCTCTTCTTGACCTTTTAAAGAGCCTCGCTCAGCCAGTGAGCGGGAACCGGTCTGTATGTGGGATCCGAACCCTCGGGCGGGAGCGCCGCCGCGCTTCCCAAGCGGCGCACTATCCAGTGCGCCACCGGGCCGGCCCTCTTCTTGACCTTTTAAAGAGCCTCGCTCAGCCAGTGAGCGGGAACCGGTCTGTATGTGGGATCCGAACCCTCGGGCGGGAGCGCCGCCGCGCTTCCCAAGCGGCGCACTATCCAGTGCGCCACCGGGCCGGCCCTCTTCTTGACCTTTTAAAGAGCCTCGCTCAGCCAGTGAGCGGGAACCGGTCTGTATGTGGGATCCGAACCCTCGGGCGGGAGCGCCGCCGCGCTTCCCAAGCGGCGCACTATCCAGTGCGCCACCGGGCCGGCCCTCTTCTTGACCTTTTAAAGAGCCTCGCTCAGCCAGTGAGCGGGAACCGGTCTGTATGTGGGATCCGAACCCTCGGGCGGGAGCGCCGCCGCGCTTCCCAAGCGGCGCACTATCCAGTGCGCCACCGGGCCGGCCCTCTTCTTGACCTTTTAAAGACCCTGATGCTTGCTTGGGGCTGGGAATGGGCAAAGGTTTCTTTTTGGGTAATGGAAGTGTTCTAAAATTAGATTGTGGTGATAGCTGTACAACTCTGTAAATTTACTAAAAATCATTGAGTTTTATGGTATACAAATGACACATCCTATTGATGATTTAAACAGCTTTATTGGTGGTTTATAAAATAACTCTGTGGCACCTAGACAACTTTAATCTTTTGTATGTGTCACAGTATTAACTTTTATTAACTTTGTAAAGGAAATGGCTTGAAGGTGGATATTAAAAATTTATGAAATGATTTAAAGTAGCCATATATCTCTGTATTTTTAAAACAGATATTTTCAAGAAAATGAAATTGGACAGAATGTTCAAAAGAAATATAATAATAAAAAGGAACTTTCTTGTCATGATACATACCCATCACTAGAAAAGAAAGAGGTTAACGTGTCTGTCCTAACCAGTGAAGCACCACCTTTGCAACTGGAGACCAATGATGTACATTTAGAAGGGAAAAACTTCCAGCCACAGAAAGAGGTTGTTGCAACGACATCCCCTAAAACCATTGCTGTGCTACCTGAAATGGGATTTAGCCCTGATGTGATAATTGAAGAAATTATTGAAGAAAACCTGGAAAGTGAGTGAAAATATAAAAAAGCGAAAAAAATCTTGTATCTGTAATTAGAAATAATTTGTACCTTTTTGTTCCATGTAGGTAACAGAAACATATTGCTGTTGCAAACTTATATCTCATTTTGAGTTAAAACCTGTTGATTCCATGCCCCTACTCTCCCATTTTCCAAAGTTAGGATGGTTTTTATTTTCAGTGCTGTAATATGGCTAACCTCTGAGGTGTAAATTTAATATTTGGATTAATTAGGGTATTTGACTTTTTTAGTGTTCCACGTACAATCCTTGTATAAAACATACAAATATAAGAAAATGAAAGAGCGATGATTGGTGGAAGTGGTTTTATTACTTTGTCCTTGAATTAAAAACAGCTTTTCTTAAATCTTTATTCTGAGATATAATATGTTATAAGATAAACTATCATGACTATAATGTCATCTACTTTATAACATTTAAATGTGTCACAGTTGTTTGATTAGATTTCAGTGTTGGTATCCTACCCATTAAAATGAGAGTGAGACACTACTCTTTGTAGTTTTATACTAATAGTCTTCTTGAGGACCATTTTCAACATCAGTTTTGATTCCCTCCCTCCACCCCACCATTGTCTGTTTTATTGGTTGACTTTCCCGAATGACATTTTGAATACAAAAAAAGGACACTTTTCTTTCATTTCCACTGTATTATCATCACTGATACCTCAGTGACTTAAGATAACCCATCATGACTTTACTTACTTGCTTTACTTACAATGGGTCTTGCCATTCCAGTATTTTGCCAATTCAAATACAGCTTTTTAAACAATAGCAAACCATTGTTAACATAAACAAAATTAGTACAATTGTCTTTGTCTCTTATTTTCATAAAGCATGCTTCACAGATTGTCTTATGGAGACACCTACATATCCAAAAAAGCCTCTTCAGAAAAAGTCATCTGTTCCTTTTGGATCAAAAGCAGGTACTTGTAACAACTGTCTGAGCTTGATGTAGTAGAGTTTGCTGTATGTATAGTAATTCTTGTGTAGGGTGAGGCAGTAAGTAAAATATATTTTACTGACAACTAAAACTTCTTCCCTTTTAACATTGAAAGTTTTCACTCTTTTTGGCAAAAATATTTCTGAAATTTGTAATACTTCTCCCAGCTATTTATCTTTTTATACCATCCTAAATATGAGTATTATTCTTTGTAGTCTATACTGAATAGTTAAAATGACCCATTTGTTCTATTTCTCTTGCAGAGGGGAGACTAATAATCACCTCTGCCCCTCTTACATCTTAAGTAGGACCTTTGGTTGGATCTGGGAACCAAATTGACACAAACTAGGAGAAAAGCATACAAGTTTCATTAATTTTACATTACATGGGGATCCTCACAATACAGTGAAGTCTGAAGAGGTGGCCAAAGCATGATGCTTTTACACTTTTTAGACAAAGAATGATAAGTTTTAAGAAGAGATGACAAAGGGGATCTAGCTAGGGGCAGTAAATTCTAGGAGATGTTTAGAGGTGTGAAGCTAGTGAGACATAATGGTTACTTCGGGGAGTTTATTCAGGTCCATTGGAGGCCCAGTTTCCAGTCCCTGGTGACGAAGGCTGTTTTCTCACCCTGACACTGGGAAGGCACGTCTCCCAAAGGAATCTTTGTAGCCTGCTACATGCAAAAAAAGGGCAGGTCAGATAGGCCTTCCTGCAACTACAGTTTCTCCAGTGTTTTCAGCTTGAAATAGTCAATATACCAAGTCAGCATATTTTGCATTGGTACCTCCTTAAGTTCTTCATTTCCCCAGTCTGAACCTTTTCTAGAAGTTTCAAACATTAAAAGCTGAGTTGGTGGCTATGGAGAGAAAATTCAGGTTATGTGGCGAGGGAGTAACTATGTGACGAGAAAAACATAAATTAGAACGAGATTGAATAAGCAGAAAAGAACAAATCTAAGCATATTTCCCCATAATCCCTTACACCAGTCTCCTGTGCCTGGGAATGGACCAGTTAGTTCATTTATCTGATGAAGAGTGTTTATCTTGTCTTTTAAAAGGGGCAAATTAGACTATGTTTATCCCAGATGATTTACTTAGAATCAGTATTTCTGTCCTGTCATCATTCAGGTTCTTCCTTTTTGAGCTGTTAGTATATCCAGGACATGGCAATTTTGAAGTATAACAAAGGCTAAATTCCAGCCTCTTATTGGAAGATTTGGTTTGGTTTTTTTGGCGGCTGGCCTGTATGGGGATCCGAACCCTTGACCTTGGTGTTATAACAATGGAGTGTTCTTAATGCTTGTATAGTGATATGCAACTCTTTTTTTATTAGTACGGAAAGCTTCGGAATGGCCCTTTTAATTTGATAAGTTCCAAAGTGTAGGAAAAAGGGTCTCAACATTGAAAAGAATTTAGAATCATGAAATACAAGTGGGTTTTCTATGTTACATCTAGTATGTTTGTGTGGTACTACCTTATGAACAAAGGAGCCCAAGTTTGTAATATGGCTGGCATTTAAAGTAGAGTGCCTAGTGACAGAAGGTGTTAGGTGTCCAAGTGCACATCTTCCTGACCATCTAGGTGGGAATCCTTCGTATATTTTGTCACCACACACGGTAAAAAGACCAGTGTTATTCACAAATAAGGTAAGAGTGGAATTTGTGACCTCTCAGATTGGGGTTTGTTGTGCCTTGTCTTCTGTCATATTGACGTCTGCACATCTCCATCCTCCATGTGTCCCATAGGAGCAGAACAGGTTGCAAAATATCTGATATAGGAGGCCTTTAGTTCTGTTTTGGCAGCTAAAGTGTTAAATTTTGTCACCTGGCCAAGTTAGTCCAGAAGTTTGGTCTATCCAGATTTAACCTTTTTGTCTGCCAGTCTAATGAGGGGAGCAAGTGAGCTACCCCACATTACAAAGGGCTGGCTTGGGAGCCCTCTGTGACATCTGGTGATCTGGCAAGTGTTTACCATAAGAGTCTGTGTTAGAGCCACTTATGATTTTCGTGAGAGGCTTAAGGATGTCATCTGTGGAATTAAACTGCAGGGCTAGATTGTAATGTTGCATTGGTATGTTACCTAAGAAAAGACCAGCATCCTTCCTGTTTTCAATGTAGCAGGGAAAATTCTTTCCTAAAGACCTTACAAGAGCAAAGGACAGTCCTTGAGCTCTCATAGCGATTTCCTTGTGTCGGGTTGGCTCACCAGAAGGAGAAATAGTGTAATGTCGGTTTCTCAGTCGTGGATGCCATGCCTTGCATCCATTCTGCAGACGTGATCCACCAGACACTCACATCGGCAGGGACAAAGATAAGTTCAGGTTCTTTTTTACAATCTAGGTGTTGACATAGTCAGTAATTAGATTGGTTAGTTAACGTAGCTAGGGTTTGGAAGACTGGTATGAAGGAGTCCAGGGTCTGTGCCTGACGTTTTGTAAATAATAGTAAGGGTTAATAACGACAAGACAGAGTATAAAGTTCATAGTGTAGGATCTGAGGGAGAATAGGATAGATTGAAATAGTCTCCTGTCAGCTTTTTAATGGGCAGTCTAAGAACAGGGAAGGTTTTGTCAAAAAAAAGAGATTTTTGTTTTGTGTATGTTTTTCCTTTTGGTTTTTTGGGTGGAGGGGAAGTGTTTTGTAAATAATAGTAAGGGTTAATAACGACAAGACAGAGTATAAAGTTCATAGTGTAGGATCTGAGGGATAATAGGATAGATTGAAATAGTCTCCTGTCAGCTTTTTAATGGGCAGTCTAAGAACAGGGAAGGTTTTGTCAAAAAAAGAGATTTTTGTTTTGTGTATGTTTTTCCTTTTGGTTTTTTGGGTGGAGGGGAAGTAGGGAAACGTAAAAGGGAAGAAAATAGGTAGAAGTGGAATTTCTTCATCTGGAATAGTGGGGAAAGCTGTCTATTTCAAAGAAATACTAGGGCGGTTCAAAAAGTACATGAAAAAATGGAATTAAAAGATAATGCTATTTTTTCCATGCTAATTTTTACTTTTTGAAGTATCTTGTATGGTTTACTTTTGGGGACCTGGGAATTGGCCTTGGAATCTTTAAGGTCACCTGTAGGAGTGGTTTTTTTAATTGTCCTGGAAGTGCTGATTGGGGTCCTCCCAGGAGGATTTCTTTTTATTTTCATGGCAGTGTAGGTAGTCAGCAATACTTTATAAGGGCCTTCCCAGCAATCTGACAGTGTGTGTTTTCTTCTAAAAAACCTTGATATACACATGATCCCCTGGTCGAAAGGGATGGCAAGTCTTGTCAGTTGGTGAAGGCCATGCCCTTTTTACCTGTTGATAGTATGTTCTAAGTATACTAGTAGTTTTTGTAGATAGCTAGTAAAGGCATCAAATTGTTCACCTATATGCCCAGAGTATTTAACCCAGGAATGGAAAGTTTAGAAATGCCAATAGGCACAGGACAACTAAACACTATTTCAGAAGGGGTTAATTGTCTTCTATTTGTAGTATTCTGGATTTTTATAAGGGCTAGAGGTAATGCAGTTTTTTGTTTTTTGTTTTTTCCTTTTTGTCTTTTTTTCGTGTCCGGCAACAAATCGCAATCCTCAGTGTCGCGCCCATACCGGACTGGGACCGGCAACGGGATCACAACCCTCGGTGTTGCTCCCGCACCTCGCTCAGCCAGTGAGCGGGAACCGGTCTATATGTGGGATCCGAACCCTCGGCGGGAGCGCCACCGCGCTCCCAAGCGGCGCACTGTAGCAGTGCGCCACCAGGCCAGCCCTTCAGTCCAGTTTTTTAACAGACTTTTTCTAAAGTCCGTTTTATGTCTAGATTTTTTGTGTTCCACTTGCCTTGGGGATTGGGGATGGTATGGGATATGAAATTTTAATGAGTACCCTAGTAGAGGTTTTGTAAGCAAGTGGTTTTTTTCTGCTGTAAAATGAGTTCCTTGGTCTGAATTAATCTATAAAGGGATGTCAAAATGAGTAATAATCTAATTATCAAAAATTTTTTTAACCACTACTGTGGTGTTGGTATATCTGGTTGGATAGTATTTAGTCCATCCACTAAGCATACATACAGATGATAACCAAATAGTGAGAATAGCCTGACACTGGAGGTAAATCTATGAAATCCATTTGGAGCACCGCAGGGGGCAGTGTGAGCCTTGGCGGACTTCCTGAGATATGTTGGTTTCTTCCAGAAATGTGGTGAGATTACACTGGGAAATAATTTAATTAGAAATTTTGTAGATCCCAGAGCAGGACAAATTATTTTTAGTTCCTTAACTTTCCCCTGTCTGTACATATTTCCCATCTGAAACATAAGTGTAAGCCAAAAGGCTAAAAGAAAGGGGGCCACAGGAAGTGCATTCGGCCCAGTGCATAATGCTTCAGACAGTTGTTTGTCACCCTTTTGTATCCATTTATCTTTTTCAGATTGTGAGGCATTTCCCCAGTGACCATTAATTTCAGAGATAAAGTCAGGTTTATACACTGGGTAAAAAACCGTGTACTTAGCAGCCTTGTCTACCCTAATGTTTCCTAGACATGTAATTGTCAGTCTCCCTAGAATGGCCTGAGCAGTGAACAAAAACAATTTCAGTAGGAAGGTGACTAGCCTGTAATAAGGCAGCAATTACATGCTCATTGGTAGTGGGAGTACCAGCAGAAGTTAAGATGCTGGCAGGATTGATTGTTCAGTAGGGCTTTTTTGTAGGTGATCTGTCTCATATAGAGAGGTACTGTATCTTATAAACTTGTAATAGAGCAGACATGGCATGGGGAATACAGGAGAATGGGGGGAACCTGATGTAAGAGTGCCAGCTTTGTCAATTAGGGCAGCAGCTGCTGCTGCCACACACAGGCGTGGGGACATAGCTGCTGCTACAGGGCCCAGCTGGCACGAAAAATGTGCTACAGGATGAATCTGACAGGCAAAGCATTGCCGTAGAATACCCGCAGCAGTTCCATTATTTTTGTGGCAACATAGGTGAAAAAGTTTACCAAAATTGG